ATTTATTGAACCAGACATTGTGCTAAGTGCTTGGAATATAATGATGAAAAATACCAGGAATAGCTCCTCATCACATGGCTGCTTGTAGTTTAGTCGGGGAGCAAGATAATCACACAATTAAGTGTAAAATTATAATGATGACAAGTGCTGCAAAGGAGAGGTTTGTGGTACTTTGAATGCCTATTATAGGACTAGTCTAAACTGAGATTTGAAGAATGATGTGACAGATTAAAGATGGACATGTATTCTTTGCTACTCCTCCCATGAGGAGGTGAAGTCTAAACTCCTCTCCCTAAATCTGGGCTGGCCTTAGGGACTTGTTTAACCAATAGAATGTAGCAGAAAGGATGTTTGGGACTTGGCAGGGTAGATCATAAGAAGGCTTACAGCTTCTATCTTTCTTGGAATACTCTTTCTCGGGCTTTGAAACATCATGAAAGATGTCCCACTACCCTGAGACCACCATGTCAAAGAGGCCATGTGTAGGTGTTTGAGTCAACAGTCCCAGCTGTGGCCTGCCTTCCAGCCATTTCTACCAAGCCACCAGACCCTGGAATAAAATCTTTGATCCTCTAGATCCAAGGTCAGTGAACTACAGCCTACAGACCAAATCTGGCCACTACCTATTTTTACAAATAAAGTTTTGTTGGAATGCAACTATACCCATTTATTTAATTATTGTCTGTGGCTGTTTTTCCATTATACTTGTAGAAATGAGTAGCTGTGTTAGGAATGATACGGCCCATTATAGAAAAAAATGTTGACCCTTGTTTTAGGTTAGTACTCTCCAATAGAAATATAACACAATCACATATGTAATTTGAGAATTTTGAGTAGTCACATTAAAAAAATTAGAAAGAAATAGGTAAAAATCAATTTTAATGATATATTTTACTTAATTCAGTATATCTAAAATATTATAATCTCAACATATAATTAATATAAAATTATTAATGGATATTTTGCATTTTTTTCTGTATAAAATCTTATAGGTATTTTACACTTATAGCACTTAGATAAGCTACATTTCAGGTGATGAGTAGCCACATGTGGCTAGTGACTACTGAATTGGACAGTGCAGCTCTAGAGCAGCCCATTCACTAGATTAATACCAACCACCAACTGACTTCAGTTGATGCCATGAGGAATAGAAAAATCACTCAAAAGCTTACCCAAATTTCTGGACCACAACATTGTGAGGCAGAGTAAATATTAGTTGTTTTAAGCTGCTAAGTTTGGGGACAGTTTGTTAGGCATTAATAGGTAAACAGAACAGATTGAATAAATGTTGTATAGGTGAAGTGGAGCGGCTTGGAAGGATTCTAGGCAAAAGGAACAGCAGGTACAAAGGCACTGAGGCAAGAGGGAGAATGAGGGAAGGTTGATGTGGCTTAAATGACTAGACAAGTAGGGAGAGAAGCCTGCAGAGGTCAGCAGGCAACAGACCATGCTTATCTCAGGGGTCAGCAAAGGATTTTGGTGTTTATTCTGAGTACAACATGAATCACTGAAGAAATTAGAGGAGTGACATAATGAGTTTTGCATTTTGAAAAGATGACTTGGCTACTGTGTAGCAAATGGATGGTAGGGAAGTCAGAACAGATGCCAGAAGACCAATCAGTTGGCTACTGATTGTACTGATGTAAATGAAAGAAGATGGCCGCTTGGTCTAGAGTGGTAGTAGCAGATGTAGAAGTGGATAGGTTCAAGCAATATTTAGGATTATAATCAACTGGAAGTAAAGATGAGGGTGAGAGATTGATTGATTGATTGATTGATTCATTCATTCATTCAACAACTGAGTGCCAAGAATCACTCTTGTTTAATAGACTAACATGGTGGATGCTGCAGGGCTTTTTTACTTTTTCACTTGCACAAATAAGTGAAATTCTTTTCTATAAGTAGAGTAGGATAGCTTAATGGAGTCTGGAATGTCAGATGAGTTTGTATTTGATGTGATAGAAAATTGAGAGTTTGAGATTAATGGTTTGGGAGCAGGAAAATTATGTAATGGAAGTTTAAAAAAATAAGCCTATCAGTGACCTGAGGAAGGAGGTGAGGGCTGGTATTACGGTGATCAAGAAAGCCAGGATTAAAGTCTCATAGACCTGAGATGAAGAGGCTGAACCAGCATAGGGACAGTGGGTATGACAAGAAAGGATGAGCATGAATGCCACCTTGATGAAAACATGAACACTTCTTGGTGTCTTATAGACACGGGAGATGATGATTGGCTATGAATGTGCATCACCCATCTTGAGCTTAACTGAGCTCCCCTAGCAGCCATGTCTCTCTCTAGCTCAGGCTGGATCATATGTCGGACTTGTTTTCCAATCTCTTCTTGGAGCAAATCTTTCTGGGCCCCATTTGTGGAGAGTTTTTCATACTTAACACTGACTTACTTTGATTAGCTGTCCCTCTCCTCACCCATTTGGGAGCATGGTGCTTCCACACAGATATGAGGGGAGCAGCATCAAAGATGCATACGTACAAAGAAGAAATGTCTATGTAGACTCATAAGGAGGAAAGGCTGCTTTTATTCATTCCCTGATATATTAGGTAACTAAGTATTAAAATCAAAAGTCCATTCCCTCACTTACTCAAAAGAAGTAGCATAACATGGTGAAAGCATTTAATTTTTCCAGTCTCCTTATAACAAGTTTATGTACAAGACAGATGTCCAGTTCTCAGTCATATCTAGAATCAGATCTTTCTAAGTCAAGGTGCATCGCTTTTCCAAATTATCAATGGTTTTGGAAACCATTTTTTCCTTTTTTTGTCAAAAAATGCCTATGGGTGACCATCATGCAAAGTTTACAGGCAACTCTGTGCGCGTCTGGTCAAGGGTTCCACCTACCACAAATAAGACCCACAGAACTCCCTAAAAGGCATTTATGCCAACCCTGGAATAAAAAAGTAAGAGGGCCCCTTCCTGTTCTCTCAGAACCAGAATCATGGTCAAAGAGAGAAAGCCAATGTTTCAAGAGTACAAATTGAGGGACGTCCCCTCTCCCTATTCTGTATACCAACCCTACCCTGGTGCTTGGAATTCCCAAATTACTCATTCCTTGGGTAAAGGCATTTTTGAAAGCCCCTATTAAAATACAAATGCTAGCGAGGAGGGAGCAATATTTTTTGTTTTTAGCCATTAAGAGTTAAGTGCAAGTTAATTTATCTAAATGGGAAAAGGAACTCAGAAAGGAACCATACTCTTAAATAAAAGAAGGAGAATAGTGAATGGGAACCTTCCTATTCTGATGGGGGGATGGAAAGTGCTGAAGACACATTTTTCTTCTACACATATTCAAAATGGTGTCTGTTTCCCAAACCTCACCCTGACTATACTACGATCTACGGTTCAGAAACAAGTCTGTATATGAGGTTAGAGATGAGGATAAAGGTCAAATAAAGGATTGTGTGCCCCGCCTATGGCCCTATCCTTCTGTCCTGTCCCCTAAATACCCTTATTTGCCTGACCAAGAAAGGTGAATTGTCAACACTTGCTTGGACTCTGGATAACTACTCAGGAACTTTCCCACCACCCTCTTTGCTTGTTTCGGACATGTTTTGTTCTTGCTCTATTTCTTCACAGCTTTAGTCTCCTGGTCAGAGACCCCTAGACTTACCTCTTACCTCTCTCCAATTTTTGAAACTTGGTATTTGAATCTCGATTTTTTCCCAAAGAATCTGGCTTGGCTTAACTTTTCACCTTTTATGTTCTTTCCTCTCCCACCGTAGCCTCAACTCCATAACATCTGATCCTCATCTCCACCAAGAAGAGATATCTGATATCCAGGGATATTAGAGTAATGAAAATATCAAGCTCAAAGACATAGTTAAACAGTGCAATCGCAAGGAGCCATTTCCTTGCCTTCAAAGCATGGTTGCTATACAATAATTTTAGTGTGACTATCTAATTAGTACTGTTTTCCCACTAGGCTAAAATGTTCAAAAGTATAAGGACCATGTCTTTTATGCTCCCTGTTAAATACCCACTAACTGTGACATCGTTAAGCACTCAATAAATATATTTAGGACATACCAATTAACAGATATTTATAAAAGCTTATACACAAGATAGCTCATGTAAATAACATTAATGGTACCTGCAACAGCAAACAGATGAAATAATAGAGAACTATGAACTTGTGCACATAGTTAGACTCATTTAAGTCCAGAGCCTTAGTCCCAAGAGGTTGCATGTCAGAGGAATAGACCATCTCCTTAGTTATAACCATTTGAGAGGAGTGGGAAGTTCCCTTGGCCAAAAATTATTTTCACCTGTCTCTCCTTAAATAACTATTAGTGGAGGCACTATTTTAAGCCTATTTGCAAATGCAAATATGTTCATGGTATACAGAACACGAGCCCACTGCCTGGGCTCTTTTTGACCTAAGACTTTCTTTTCAAATGAGCTGTTGGTCTCTAGTGCCAAGAGGAGCCAATATTGTGATGGGGCATTTAGAGGGGAAGAAGAAATGTAGAAAAGAGAGGAGAAAAAAAGAGAGAGAGAGAGAGAGAGAGTGAGTGAGAGATAGGAAGAGAAAGGCCAAGTAAGAAAACAGAGACCACTGCAGAGGCTGTGGGTTTTGCTCCAGATCTCTGGACTTCTTACTAGCACAAGGGTCTCAGGCAGGGCCAGGATCCCTGGATAGCTTCTCCTGCAGCAGAGCTACTTGGAGCCCCCAGCACCCTGATGCCAGGGGTGGTTGCTGGTCGTTTGGTAAGTGGCCCCTTCTGTTTCCTGCCTGTCCTGTCTCTTAGCTCACCAAAGCAGACAAAGGTCTCTGGCTGGAAGAGAAACGTTTTTGTAATATCCTACCTCCAATGTAGCCAGTCTCAACATCAAGCCTGATGCTCACGAGTTTTATGCATGTACTCCACAAACCTACTTACCCACTCCCTTGCCAGTCGTCAGCCCCACCTCTGAGCATTCTGCCCCAGACACAGCTTTATCTAACACCACGTTCCCCAGGCATACGAGCTTCATAAGAACATACCTGTCACAAATGCCCATCTACTGCAGCTCCCAGAGACCAGATGCATAAGCCCAGTGGCATTCCCGAGGAACACAGAAGCAAGGTATTTGGAACAAATGAAAAGGAGCCTTTGTGAGCTCCCCCAAACCTCCTAACACTCCTTGTAGAGAAAGAAATAATGTCAGGGCTGAGGCTAGAACTCAAATGCAGAAAGGGGAACTGACAAGAAAGAAATAGCACCACAGACAGGGGCTGGTTCCAGATAACTTCTGATGGCAGGTGGGCATTTCCACCGATGAAAATGACTACAAATGCACTAGCGGAGAGTGAGTGAATGTAAAGCCCTGAGGAAACTCCCCAAAGACAGCCCAGCCACAACCATGACAAACACTGACAGAGATCCAGGAGTGCAACTTTTGAGGCCTAAAGGTAAAGGTTCAGCTCAGTTTAACAACAGTTTTACTGGACTGCCGTGTACTCCAGACTGTTTCTGGCTTGGCAGAGCTGCAGGAGACAGTCTACAACCAGAAAACCCAGAGACTGGGTATTTCTCTTCTCACTCCCCACCCCCAAACCATTCATTTGAGTATACCTCCATGGATCCTGTTAGAAGCCAATTAACATCCACAGCCCGTTTTTAAATTATCCTGATCTAATCCTAATTGTCGTAATCTAGAATGTTTCTATTACCTTGGCTCCTATTTCTGGAAGTGGGTGGTACTCTTGAGCCTGGAAACAAGTCCCAAGCAGAAGACTGAAAGCTGTGTGAATGCCAAGTCGGATTTTTCCAAACCTAGTGCTTCCTCAGGGTCAGGGTTCACACATATAATAATCATGCCTCAAATGTATGGTTTCTTTTTCTGACCCAGTCGGGCCTTGAGAAGGCCTCTGCTCAATGTTTGGAGGCATTTATGTGCCTATGAGCGTGCAGCATTTGCACTCAGGAGGGGAGCAGCTCCCTCTGAGCATGTCTCCTCCACTCTCTCGGAGGCTAGTTGTGCCCTGCAGGACTGGAGAAATTAAAAGTAACAAAGGGAAATCTATGTGTTGTCTGGGTTGAGAAGGAGCACCCAAGCAAGGACGTGTAGTGCAGGGGAAGTAGCATAGCATGGGTTTGGAACTGGTGGCTAAGGTCAAATCCTGGCTTGACCCCTGGGCTGTGAACCCATTACTGAACATCTCCTCATCTCAGTCTTTTCATGCAAGAAAGGTGACCAGCATCCTTGCTGCATTGTTCTGCAAGACAGGTGGGATCTTGCATGCAAATCACTGGGCACAGAGCAGGCTATACAGCTAGCTAGTCTTTATTCATACTTTTCTGTCTTCCTTTCAGACTTTCCTGTTCTCACTTTGACCTTTTTTTACCACAAAAATTATCCTTAACCACGGGAAAGGTGATGGTCATTCTTCCCCAAACTGACCTGTCAACTCCTTCACCTTCCTTCCAGGGCCTCCCAAAGCCAAAGGGCTCCAGCGTGAGTCCTGGCCCCTGACTCATAGGGTCTTCACTTCCTCTCAGCCATTCTGTGTGCATACCTTGGAAACTTCATCCTTTATTCAGATAGGCCCCACCTGGGGTTTTCCTCTGGATTTTACAATCATATATATATATTTTTTTATTTGAAAGGGTCCATTTAGTTTCCTTATTGTAACACATGAAATTACCCATGTATCAGGGCACAGGAGTATTAATTTACATTCCACTCAGTTTTCAAGTTTCCTTCTTTTCCTTGTACTCAGCAGTCATATAAAATAGACTAAATTGGAAAGTATTGCTGTCAAAATATTTGGAATTAGTACTTCCCAAACTTTAGCCATTCTAGCTACTAGTACCACTTCATATCATTGTCAAATCTGTATTATTTTTTATATACTTATTTTTCTCTTGACTTAATTTGAATCAGTTTATTATAGAAGGAATCTTTATACCAACATGAAAATTTTTAAAAACCAGTATCATTTACCATAAATAAAGGGTGAATAAAAATAACACCTCACACAGGGCTTTGGAATTACAGAGAACTGGGTTCAAATCTGGCTCCACCAGCTGAAACGTGTGTGTTCTTGGGGAAGTCACTTAACTGCTCTGAACGCTAGTTTCATCACAGAAATAATACTAAATATCTCATGAGCTTGTTGTGAGGATCAAATAAGAAGACATATATATGATGCCTCACACAGATTCTGACATACAGCAGGTTCTTTTTAAAAAGTTGTTTTATCGTTTTCTTTTCGATTTCTTCTCTTATCTCCTCATTCACCTCCTGCTTAGAGCAGTGTCCAAATGCACTACAACACTGAATTAATGGCAGATAAGGGGTGAGGCTGGCAGCAGAAATAGAAGACATCATGGTGTCATGGAGTTCTCTCACTTTAAGACTTCATTAGCTTTACAGGGTCATCCCAGTCTCTCAGAAGTCATCCCAGTCTCTCACTGTGAAGCAAAGACCCCTTCGATGTTCTCTCTAGTAGATGGATGTCTAGTCTTTGCTTTCTCACTTATGTTAGAAAACTCACTACCTAATAAGACAGTTAAAAGAGAAAGGTCTCCTTTATAATAATCTCCTACCTCTCCCTCCCCAGCCATATAGGTACTATATAGCTGTCCGTGTCCTGTTTTCTAAAACTATTGGTATATGTATTTTTAACCTCTTTACATTGAACCTCCACATAGTTGAAAGCTTTTATCATAAATTTCCTTAATAGCCTCTTTTCTTGGCTAAAAAGTATCAGTGTCCTCAACTGTTCCTCATATGATGTGGTCTCTAGAACCCTAATCAACTTGGTGGTTCTCCCACTGGCACCTAACTCCCTGAATTTATCAACATACCTCTTTTCAGAGAGGGCTCATGGAATGGAATAGACAGTGATAAGATGACTTTCACTAATGAGTCAGAGATCACATAAGCCTATAAACATTTGTATTGGACAGATCACACCTCCTGGCCCCATCTTATTTATGTGTCAGTGTTCAGCCAATCAAAATTACTCTGAATCCCATACATGTCTTTCATTGTATTAGTCATCACTCTAAGCCTTGTGTTACTCAAAAATCTGATAAGGAGGACTTACCCAAGGGTCATCAGAGCCAAGAATGGACAAGGTTCAGCACTGATGGTGTTCAACAGTATGAAATGCTGAGATGAGGTTAAGCAAAATGAAGAAGATCAGTTCCTTGTGTTTATTAAGGAGGAAGTTACTAGTAACCTCAGAAAGCTGCTTTCTGTATGGGGCTGCTTCCTCCATGCCTTACTCCCAGATGTCCTTGTGTCTGAGGAGGTCAAGGCTACAAGAAAAAGCAGCAGGAGGGGAGTGGCCATGGATGGTAGCTGAGACAGGGAAATAGATACCTTCCTGATATTTTTGCTCAACTGTGTCCAAGAGATATTCCTCTGGCACCACATAGTTAGGACCTACTCTGGGGGTGGGGAAGGGCAGAACTAGAAACTTGTGGACATTTGGAAAGATCAGACACTTAACCAAATTTTCCAATTCCAGCTATATATTTGTTTGCTATACATAAATGGCTTCCTGTGGTCACTGGTCAAGAGGCAATCTAAAAATATTCTAGGTTGTGGTGGTTCCAATGTAAGACAAAATTGTTTCCACAAATAACTGTAGCAGCATTATTTTTTGAAATGTTAGTGTTTGTTTTCCAAGATTTATTTTTTCCAAGATTTTACTTATATATTTGATAGAGAAAGAGAGGGAGCACAAGCAGAGGGAGGAACAGAGGGAGAGGGAGAAGCAGGCTCCCTGCTGAGCAGAGAGCCCAAAGTGGGACTCGATCCCAAGACCCTGGGATCATGACCTGAGCAAAATGCAGATGCTTAACCAACTGAGTTATCCAGGCACCTCTGTTTTCTGAAATTTCTTGACACATAGATTTTTTGCAGGGGATAAAGCAGAACAGACCTAAAGTCAAGACACATTTAGACTCTGGTGAAAGCCCATGGAAGAAATATAGGTGTCCTAGAAGAGAAAGAGAGTGCTTTTGAGATACAAGAGAAAGGAAGGGCAGACGTGTTTGGGTCCTGTGAGCAGTGGGATCCAAGCACCCCCTTCTCAGTGCTCCCAAGGGGGTAAAAGCTTTGGGAGTATGGTTCTTACCTACAGAGACAGTACACTTGGCCCTAGGCATCAGTTGATAACTTCAATCCCCATTATAACGTGGGGGCAGAGCTGCCAGAATTCATAGACTACCATATTTCAGATGGTAAGGTTGCCTAAGGCAACGAAAACCTTGGGATTTGAAGCACTTCCTCCATTTCCAGGCATTAAGTAAGCTTCCTGAATTCTGGCTGGCTGCAGGAAGGGAAGGGCACCCCTGTATGATCAAGATGGAGTCCCTTATCCAACTGGCAGGATGGGTCTCACAGGTGAGATTCAGTTGAATGAAAGGAAATATGGAAAGTGATTATTTCTTACATACTTGGATTCATGGATAGAAATTCAGACCGTACACATAGTTCCAAAACTGCTTTTAGTTTAGAAGTCATGTAGCTCAGGATGGCTCTGTTCTTGTTCCCAGCCCTGCTGCACAAACTCACAATGCAGAATAGCCAGCCACCACTCCCAGGACCTGACTCTTTCCTTTTACTGAAACTCTTCTGGATTCACAGACAGTGTTCCCTTGTACTGATTGAAAGAGAGTGTAAAACACTTGCTATAAATTTTTTCTTTTACTGCTGTTGTAAAATGCATTCCTAAAACCCTTCCTCCTAAAAGCATAAACCCAGTAACTGCTGAGAGAATGCAAAGACAAGCCACAAAGTGGAAAAAAATATTTGCAAAACACATACCTTGTAAAGGACTGATATCCAAAATGTATACAGAACTCTTAAAACTCAATAAAAAGAACAAGTTAGTCTAAAAATGGGCAAAAGATTGAATTATACACCTTACTAAAGGAGATATACAGATGGATGGTAGATAAGCATATTAAAAAATGCTCAGTATCATATGTCATTAGGGGAATCATTAATTAAAACAATAATGATCTACTACTACACACCTATTAGAATGGCTAAAATTAAAAAAAAAACAACACCTGACAATATCAAATGCTGACAGGGATGTGGAACAATGGGCACTTGCATTCATTGCTGGTGGGAATGCAATGATATAGGCACTTTGGAACTCATAGTGGCAGTTTCTTACACCACTTAACCTAAGCCTACCATGTTACCCATCAGTCAGACTCATAGGTATCTACCCACATGAGTTGAAAATTTATGTCCACACATATGGACATATAGTCATGAATTCATATATTCA